ATGGAAAAAACCCCGACTACTCTACAGTCCCAACTTACTACCTTCCCATATTCTTCAATCCCCACCTCCCTTTCCCTTTCCAATTCCTATTACATATTATACTTCTCTTGTCCTAGACCTTGTCTTTCCTCTATTTCATTTTCAGATTCTTACCTTCCTCCAAACCTTACCTCGTAAACCATTACCTGTGTGTCCTGTCTCTAACAGTCTTCTTCCTTGACCCCTTAGGCTGACTTCACTGCAGGCTTCTCATTATTCAGGTCTCAGCTCAAATGTTCTCTTCAACCATGTGACCCAGTTTGCCCAGAACAGTACTGGTTTACACCTGCTGTCCTAACCTAATTATTAGCAGAGCCTCTTTTTATTCTCAAAACTGTCTCCATTTGAACAATATATTATACTGTCATATCTCAAAATAACCCCTGGGGAAAAAATTCCAGCTGTCAGATTCTCTCACAATAACTGTTTTCTTTTTTATCACCTATAACTTTCAAAGTATCTTAAACAGATGTAAATTTAAAGTCTTCAACTACTTCAGTATAAGCTCCATAAGAACATAAGAACATAGAGCTTATGAATGTTTCCAGCTTATTCACAGTTGGATCCACAGCACCTAGAAGAGTATCCGACAGTCTGTAGGTACCTAGCATCTGGAATCTCCAGATTTAGCAGAGATCCTAAAGGCTCAGATCTTGTCTCTGGCAGTTCCTGCTCCAGGCAACAAACAAGGTTCTAGATACTTCCCTAAATTCAGGGAAGTATAAATTCATTTAAGATTGGGGCATATGGATGACACTTACTTTCATGTAACTGGGTTAAATTGGTATTTCTTTAAATTAAAGTAACTAGTTAATATGTTCGTTACTCGAAAGATAAGCTCTCTGATCTCCCTTCAGTGAATTAACAAAAGTATCATATAGACATTCAAGAAAAACAAAGGAATGCCAATATACAACAGTGATGAAAAAGTCTGTTGCTCATATTTGTGTTAAATGAAGAACAAGAGTGGGAAGGTGGGGGGAGGGGAGAGAGTTCCCTAGTGGTCCAGTGGTTCGAACTCTGTGCTCTCACTGTCAAGGGTGTCCATTGAATGTTTAACCCCTGGTTGGGGAATCAAGATCCCACAAGTCATGTAGGATGGCCAAAAAAAAATAAAGCACAGACTTTTATACAACTAAATTTTCACAATTATCTTGCTGAGTGTGATACTCTAAAAATATTTAAGAGAATGTAAACTCTTAGGCCCAAACTACAGATTAAACATGTCTAGAAGAGAGAAATTAAAGCTATTATTTCAATTTGATGATGACAATCCAATAGCCAAGTTCAAATATTCTTTTTTTTAATTGCAGTATTATTGACCTATAACACTATATTAGCTCCAGTCTGACTCAGAACAATCTCATTTTCACTGAAATATAGTTTGCAACATTCCTTTACCAACCATCTTTATATACATTAATTATGTAAATAGCTAGTGAAAAGATAAGTAATACAGAATGGTAATTAAGAAGGCCTGGACTTGAATTCAGCCTCTATCACTTATAACTATATGACTGTGGATTAAGTCACTTTCTCAAGTTCCTGACCTAAAAAGCTGGGATAATACTGAACTAACCTCAAAGGTACTGAGGCAACTGCCAGCAAAAAAAGCATGAACACTGTATCAGAGTACAGTGCTTAAGCACATAGTAAACATTTAATGGTAATGATATTCAGACAAAATACTGCTTTTTGTTCTAAACTTTTTTTTCTTACCAATTTTGATAATCTTTTAAAATTATCTTCCTAAAAACATTCTTATCTGTCATCTTACAACAATGTTTGTCAAGTTTTAGGCCCATGGGAGTCAGTATGTCTGCAATGAACTCTAGGATTCAATATTCTGAACAATCCCAACAAATTGAGACTCATGAAGCCAACTGACCACACTTGAAGAAACATTGAATTTAAAAAAATTTTTTTACATCAAAAAACTAGTTGCATGCTAAAAAGAAGAAGAAGAAAAAACACTGAATTATAAGTACTCAGCCAGCAATTCAACCTTTTCTGGAAGCCTCAAAGTAACCACTATAAACAACTAATACTGAATCCACCTGTGATGCAATGAAGCACGAGAGGCTACAAAGGTGTGTGGGGATTTGGCACCATGCCACAGACCCCAGTACTGCAGTGTCTGACTCTCATGTCACTGTTATACTTTACCAGCAGCCTCAGCTGTCAATTCTCACTATTGTCACAGTATGCCTATCTCCAGCAGTATTCACCTTTAGACCTTTAAAACTTTCTAGTAGGCTGCAGACTAAAAATAAGTCAAGTTTGTCTGGATAACTACAATAAAATTAATTGGATACTATCTGAAAGGACCAAAGTATATCTGTAAGCAGTGTAGTAAGTTATGTCACACCCATCTGAACATCTCAGAAGTCAGTTCTAAATCCCACCTTTTGACTGTGATCACGTTAGTTAAAACTACCAAATACACAACCTCTAGATAAGAGAAGTGAGTCTTTCTCTCTCTATACATACATGAAGTGAAGTGGAGTGAAGTCACTTAGTCATGTCCGACTCTTTGCAACCCCGTGGACCGTAGCCCACCAGGCTCCTCTGTCCCTGGGATTCTCCAGGCAAGAATATTGGAGTGGGTTGCCATTTACTTCTCCAGGGGATCTTCCCAACCCTGGAAGGGTTGACACTTCAACCTCTGAGCCACCAGGGAAGCCTGTCTATATATATATAGACATACAGAGATGCATGTACATGCTTAAATGTATGCATGAATGTACATGCATGTGTTAGTCCAAAAGGTTCCATTTCCTTGCAAGTTTTTCCAAATTTTCCCTATACATTTTATGTCTAGTCCATTTCAATTTCTATTTTTCAAATTACTAATACTGTGTACAGAGTATTACCTTTCAAAGATTTTATAAAAGTGAAACTAGGATTTTACCATAAGGCTACCCAAATATAAAACATCGTATCTAAACACTTAGGTAGCATTGACACACAAGATTCAAAGCACTCTGTAAACAGAAGAGTCTAAATGGATGAGGAAATTCATGAATTTTCTCAAGGCCACCCAGTTACCCACAAAAACTGCGCTAAGGAAAAACAACTGAGAACCAGTTACTAAAATAATGACTAAAACAATGACTAAAAGTTTTTAAATTTTCTATTATATAAAGAGACATTACCCAAAAAAATATTTCAGTTTGTTCTTTTCTTTAATATTAGCTCCTAAGAAATCATGGACTAGTTCTCATAAAATTCTATCAAAATATAAACAATTTTTTAAAGTCACAGTTATTTCAAATCATCTTTAAAATTCCATTATTCTCTTTTTGAGCACCACAGTGAGTTATAGCTAAGAAAATACTAATTTTCATGTTATCTGGAGTTTCAGATAACTCATAAGTTGAACCAGTAAGTTAAAATTGGTTTATGAAAATATTAGACACTTAATTACATTTTCTGTGAAGAAAAAAACATTTTCTGCTGTCTTTTTGTGTTAAAATTAAAACACCTATATGCCAATGCATTAATCTCTAGTTCTTAAAATTACTGTAAAGACATTCTGTTCTTGCTGCCTAAATCTACTGAACTTCTGTTATTGCAATATCATATGAACTGTTTATCAACTTATATATCAATTTATATTACTTTTTCTTCTTACCTAATTCTGTTTACATAAGAGATGAAAACTTAAAAATCTGCAATGTTAAATTACTTTTGGAAACAAGAGGGAGGGGAGAGCAGAGCAGAGTGAGGGCAGTCACCTTATGACTGACACGCTCCTTAATTTTTAGGAAACAGTTCCATTCCCAAACACTAACTTCTAATGGTCAAATATGATAAGCAATCAAAATCTAATTAAACCTATATCACTGATACAAAATGAATCCTATGCCCACTCAAAACTGGCCACCTTGTCTCAGTATACAAAATAAGCGTGACTGATGACTACTCTTTTAGCCTACTAAGATAGGAAAACCCAAGTTCAACCCTTTAGAAGTGTCTTTTCTATCTAACAGAGTGAGCAATTATGCGGACACCACTGACAGTGACCGTGATAAGGACAGAAGAAAGAAAAAAACATAAAAAGCATAATATGACCATACTGTGGGAAAAATCTAACTTACACCTAAATTATTGTTTCAAAATGTTCTTTCCCAAGAGAATTAAATTCATACATAAATATGTCCATTATAGTCTCACTAGTAACAAAAATTACACCAATCAAAAATAAACTGCATTGTTTCTTTAAAAACTTTACCAGTGATATTAGCTGTAAAGCCTATTTCCAATATTCACTCATACAACATTCACTTCCAATAAACAGCAGGTACCCATTAACGCATGGCACTGGGCTAGAAATTGTTAACAGACATGACAAATTATTTCATAACAATTACCCTTACCTTCAGCTGAAATCCAGTTTCATTTACTGTCTCTTTCCAGTTGCCTTCCTAAAAATTAAAGGTAACTTTAGATATCACTGTAAAATAGCCCATAAGTAATATCCCAAATAAAATACCCATCATTCTGTTCTTCCCTCATGGGAGATGGGGGAAGAGGGGTTAAAAAAGAATTCTTTTCACTGCAAAATTACACATACAATCCAGATTCCAAAAGATTACCAGAGACAGCCCCAAGATTTTCTAGATCTGGGATTCAAAACACTAAAGACTAACTTTCATACCATCTAAGTGATACCAAAAAGTACAATCTTTAGTATCTTTAAGTATAAAAATGTTAGCCAGAAGAATGATGTAATACTTTGGAAATTCAAAACAAACCATGAAATACATATAAATTAACAAAGGGCAGCTCCAAGAGAATCCTTAAGAAGAAGCACTCCACAATTTAAAATTTTAAAAATCCCAAGTCAAATGAAATTTTTTAAAAGACTAAATAAAAGAAAAATACCTGTGTTAAAAACAAATAGAAGATTTTGTCTCTACAAAGGATGGGATGTGAAGCAAGTCTCAAGAGGAAATTTTCTAAACCAATTCGTCGTCCTTCCACAAAATCCGGGTCCATGTTGTCAGCAGAGAGTTTATGCCAAACGAATTCTGCCTAGATAAACAAAACAATCATGAAGAATAGTCTCAATGCTAACTACTTCTAAACTACACCACCACTTCACTCCTTACCCTTTTTTCTGGTAGAGGTGGCACAACAATATGTGGATAGTAAACTAAAAGGTAGTTTCTCAACCACTCAAATGCACTACACCGCCTCCACAGTGAGTCTGTTAGGACACTCTGACCATCACTATGTTCAACTGACCTGAAAAAGACAGAATAAGATTTCTAGTGTTTTTTAAAAATACAAATGCATGCATACGACCTCCTTTTAAAACTGGTAACTCCATTTACTGAATGCTTATGAACCAGGAGGGCTATGAACCAGGCACTGAGAACTTTTCATGTATTATTTAATTCCTACAACAAACCTGGTGAAGCAGGGATTACTGTCCCCATTTCACAGATGAGAAAGCAGCTGCATGGTATATGCTCTTCCTTCAATCACAAAGATTTGTGGGTAGAGCACTCAGATCCATCTGATTCCCAAGCCCTCACTCCTAACCACTTTCCTCCATTATAGAAAACCTATTTGAACTTGAGAGAAATAGTCATATTAGGAATATTCTTCTCAACAAAAGCCTCAATATAAGATAATTCAGTTAACATAATGGCTGGCTTTATAATATAGTAAGAGTCTGGCTTCACCAGTGTTTCATTAAAGAAAAAAGTACTTTTAACTCTCACAATGAAAGAACAACTCCTGCCACAATGACAGAACAACATTCATGCCAAAGACCATGACACCAAAAAAATCCTCAATTTAACATCATCAAAAAATCAGATGCATCCAAGTGCCAGAAAAGATCCACAAAAGTAAACTGTCAAAGAGCGGCAAGAAGGGATGTAACAAATTAATTCTAGTCTTATATTTAATATAAAGAGCTGCAGGTAATGCCATGAGTCATCCATATAAAAGTTCAATTTGGGGGAAAGCTGGGTAAAATCATAAAAATAATATTTGAAATTATTTTGACTATTTATCATTTCTGCTAGCATAATGACTATTAGAAAACATCAGCCTTCTAAACATTATTGGAACCTTCCCATTTCCTAATAGAAAATAACTTACAGATCCTCCAAGAAACATGCATATAACCAAAATGTGCATTTGTGCAAGTACAGTATAAAGGCAGAGAGGCTAAATCAGTCTCAGAATAAAGTCTCGAGAAAATGGATACACCACACCATGCTCAACACAAGATGTTCATTGTTTTTATTATTTATATATCGTTTTCTAAATTAATTCACTGTATATTAATTTAAAAGGGAAACAATATGAAATTCAAAATATACAAATGGTTTTCATGGCAAGATACAGGATTATTAAATGATAATTCATTTTAAAGAGTTGACCTAACCATTAGCTGACTAAAACTGTTCTAATTCAGATTTTCGACTTCAGCTAAAAAAACATATCTTGGGTTAATATCAAGTTTCAAATTATTCAAAATTATTACCAACAGAGCCCAAATCTTGCTAAAAAGTAGATAAATATAGCCTATAGGCAGTACACCTAAAGGCTGTTAGAAGAGCTGTTACAAGTTGTTTTTGCTTTGTTTTATTTCAAAGCCCACAAAAAGAAGTCAGCGGAAGCCACCTAAAAGCATAGAGAAGACTTTCTTTGGACCACAGAACTACCCCATTTATCCAATTATTTAATAAATGTTTAACAGCACATAATTGGTTTCACATGCAATATTTAAATTAAATGTAACCGTTTAAACCATTTAATATGACAAAGTATACAGGATCTTTAGCCCTGCTTTACAAATTAGAAGAATTCAGGAAAGACATCATACGGCTTCCCAAGACAAAAGAGGCATCTTACCTGTTAATACACACAGTGTTCTTACCTATTTTAAAAGGGTTCATACTTAATGAACAGCAAAACATAGAAATCCCTGGAGAAATCAAAATCAATGACCTTAGCCTTATTAACCCTTAGCCTATTAAACTGTAACACGATAGGCAACTGCTAAACTGACTTTCTTCATGTGTCCACAGAGTAGGCTGATGAGCTATGTGATAAAGTTGAACTTTTAGTCAATGTCAAGGCTCAACAATATTTATAGTGTCGAAGATACTCTGCATAACACTGAATTACAGCAAGAATTCTACATGACCAAAATAATAAATTCCAGGGTTCTGTGGCTGCTGAAGGTCAGTTACAGTGCTGACAAAATTATTTATAAACTATCTATAAACAGTAATTTTCAAAGTGGATGTGCATATGATATGGGATACGCAAGAATTTAAGACAGGGAAAACACAACTTATAAAGAAAAAAGATAAATTTGACTATCTTAAAATGTAAAGCTTTTGTATTTGAAAGATAAAACTATGGTCCATGGCTTATTTGCTTCAAAAACACCTGGAACTTAAGCTTAAAATGTGTTAATTCCTGGACCCCACTCAAAATTCTGTAGCTTAACAAATTTTTCAGCTGATTCCTATATATTTTAAAGTTTAAGAATCACTGTTTTAAAATAAATGAAATATAAGTGTGACAGTCAACTCAATATTCTTTTGTGTACCACATTATTCACTGATGTTCCTAGATATTTATCCAGAGGCTAGCTATATTACTCATGTATGGTCACTTCTAACTCCAACTTTTGAATTATAATTCTCTATTCATTTCAAAGTCAAGAGTAAACAACTATAATAAATAGAGTAAACAGCTATAAATTATTCCAGATTATTGAAATCAAGAGGTTCTTCTAGCAGTAAAGTTAATCAACAGCTAATTTCATTGTTGAACTGGATGAAGAAACAGGCATATACTAAAAATATCCTTTTTAGTTTTAAATTTAAGAATTTACTTAAAAAGCTAGAGCCAATACAAATTTCTAAAGTATGATATTTTAAAATGGCTAATTAAACTAAAAAAAAAAAAAAAAACCTCTCATGGGACCATACTTTTTAAAAATTGACTTAAAAGTCTCTGATACATATGCATGTATGTACACAGGCAGGATACTTCCCTGATCCACCAGGCAAGTCCCTCTACTTTTCTTTAAAAAATATGGACTATACTTTCTTATTAATTTTTTTAAATATTTTGGCCACACTGCACAGCATGTGGGATCTAATTTCCCCAACCAGGGATCAAACCTGCACACGCTGCACTGGAAGCATGGAGTCTTAATGGACTACCAGGAAAGCCCCCCCTACTTGTTTTAACTGAAAGTATTTCTTCTCAGCTCACACACAGAAAAGAGCTTGTCAGTGTAGTCTTGATATAAACTATTTATAATAAGCAAAATTCCGTGGTAAAGAATCCACCTGACAATGCAGGAAATGTGGGTCCGATCCCTAGGTCAGGAAGAGGCCCTGGAGAAGGAAATGGCAACCCACTCCAGTATTCTTGCCTGGGAATCCCATGGACAGAGAAGCCTGGTGGGTCACAAAGAGTCAGACATGACTGCACACACACACACACACCCTTTGCTTTTCTCTGGACAAAACAGTTTAACTCATTTAACTTTTTGCTTATGAAGTAAAAGACTTTTCTGGTGAGTTTCTGAAGTAAATAACCTTACTTATGGCTGTGCGGAGTCCTCCCTGCTGCGTGGGCTTTCCTCTAGCTGCGGTGCGCAGTGGCTTCTCTTGCCGTGGAGCACAGGCTCTAGGGGGCGGGCCTCAGTAGTTGTGGCGCGTGGCCTCAGAAGTCATGGCTCCCGAGCTCTCGAGCACAGACTCAGTAGTTGTGGCACATGAGCTTAGTTACTCTGAGGCACGTGGGGTCTTCCCAAACAGGGATGAACCCGTGTATCCCGCATGGGCAGGCCTGTGATGTGGATGGGATCTGGATGTTACTTGACACTAAAGCAAGCACCAAGTAACATCCAGTAACCTTCGTTCTCCCTCCAAAACAAATACATTCAAATTTAGCTAGAGTACCAGGGTAAAAGAAAACCTGGTCACCTGTTAAAAAGTAAAGAAACAAAAAGACAATGACTTGTAAATGATTCCACTATACAACAGAATTTGCATCAACAGCTACCAAAGCTTTTTCTAACTTCAGACATAATTCTCATCACTCACCTTGTTTCAATGAGGTAAGCAGTATATGTTTCCTGCATGTTCATGGCATTTCTTCCAGTTCGCTTTTCTGCTTCTGAAACACTAATTTCTATCTTCTTCAACGAAAAATTACTTTCTGTCATCTGAATAAAAATAGAACAACAAAAACTTTTTAAATGATACTGAAAAAAAAACCCAGCTAGTATAATCAAATCCATTATTAGTACATATCTCAGGTTACTTTTTTTTCTATCTCTTGCGTTACTAGTGGCTGCTAAACGACATCAGCAAATGCTATGCCTCTTTTTACCAGCATGTAGCACATTAAACTTTTCCAGAAGCTATTTTAGCAAGTGCCATAGATTTAATTATTAAAATGTAGGCATGATTATAGGAGAAAAAAATTAAAATAAAAAGTATACCTACAGAAAAAGAGACACAGATATACAGAACAGACTTTTAGACTCTGTGGGAGAAGGAGAGGGTGGGATGTTCAGAGAGAACAGCACTGAAACAAGTATACTGTCAAGGGTGAAACAGATCACCAGCCCAGGTTGGATGCATGAGACAAGTGCTCGGGGCTGGTGCACTGGGAAGACCCAGAGGGATGGGATGGAGAGGGAGGCGGGAGGGGGGATTGGGATGAGGAACACATGTAAATCCATGGCTGATTCATGTCAATGTATGGCAAAAACCACTATAATATTGTAAAGTAATTAGCCTCCAACGAATAAAAATAAATGGAAAAAAAAAGCATACCTATCACTTAAATGACCAAGAATAAATCTATATGGAAATGTATAAGAAAAAATTTAAAAACACTGTTTACAAGATGAATGGTCCTCAATACTGATCTTTTTATTTTACCAGTCCAATCAAATATAAAATGCTATATAACAAAAGGTGAGATTTTCAGCTTTCAGCTTTAAAAATTAAAGCTGAATTTTAAATTTTTTTAAAAAGAAGGAGCCATCACATATTTGATCATAAATTTGCCTAAACATTTTGGCAGTGGTTAACAGGCTCCACTGTGAGATGGCAGGTTTTTCTTTTTTATAAATATTATTTTTATTGATTTATTCATTTTTTATTGAAGTATAGTTGATTTACAATGATGTTTTAATTCCAGGTATACAGCAAAGATATTCTTTAATATATATTCTTTTTCATTTTATTTGTGATTATAGTTTATTACAAGATAATGAACAGAGTTCCCTGTGCTATACACAGGACCCTGTCTATCTGAGATAGTAGGTTTTAAGAACAGGAAACTTCTTTCTTTTCCTGCTAGATCATCCCCAGGTCTGTATCAAACATCACTGGTGGTTCACAGGCTCTTTGTGACACTGAAGAAAGAAAGTGAAAGTGAAGTCGTTCAGTCCTGTCCAATTCTTTGCAACCCCATGGACTATAGCCTACCACGCTCCTCCATCCATGGGATTTTCCAGGCAAGAGTACTGGAGTGGGTTGCCATTTCCTTCTCCAGAGGATCTTCCCAGCCCAGGGATCAAACCTGGGTCCCCCGCATTGTAGGCGACGCTTTACTGTCTGAGCCACCAGGGAAGTGCTGCCACAGAAGAAGGTCTTGAATACACCCAAACTAGCCCGAGTTCACACACGGTGAGGCCATGCGATAACTGCTGCTCTTTCCTTTCTGTTCCCTTGCTTTTTTTTTCTCCCTTTCTCCCTGAACTTTCAAAGTTCAGAGGTGGGTTTTAATTAAAAAGCATTGTATTGCACTACAACCGGGGGTGGTTTGTGAAGAAGAGATATAAGTAAAAAGATGGATATACCAACAAGTTAAAAGAAAAAGCGGTATGTAATAAAAATCCATGATGATACTTTACACAGAAAATTAAATCTGTATGCTATGAAGACAGAATAAGCTATGTGACAATACACAAAATTAAATCAGTGATGAATAAAGATGACATGCTTAGAAAGTATCCCAAAAGCGCTGAAGAATAATAGAGGAGGTAAAGATGCGAAAAGAAAACAAAGGACAGAAAACTAAAAATGAACCCAAAACAATACTACTCTGTTGCCAAACAAGACAAATTTTATAAAATGTAAGTTTTATGTTCATGTACTAAAAGAGAAAACAAGATAAAGAAAAATCATTCAACTAAAAGAAAGCTCAAGAAATTACATAAGCATAAACCACTCAACATCAGGATTATGAAGTCCTCAAGGGTTGAGATTATACATATAAAAAATTTTGGCCTACAGGCAAGCACTGATTTATCACCAAGTACTTCACTGAAAAATTATCTGAATTCTAGAATCAGATAAAACTGATAAAACAAATTATTTCCCGCCAAAAAGATAGTGCACATGAATCATAAATTTATCCCATTATGTCATCCAAATAATTACACAGAAGGGAAAAATAAAAGTATAAAATCAACTATCATAAAAACTAAAGACAGGCACATAAAAATATCAGCAGGAATTGGTAGATGATATAAAATTGCTAATACTGTCATACTAAAGTACAAACAGTGCCATGAATAGCATAACTAATGTTAAAAGGACACATTAAAAAGATTTAGAAATGGATAAACTTGATGACTGGAAGATGAGACTAGGAGTGTGTTTTAAAGAGAGAGATAATATTTTATGTATTTAAACTGAAATACAGTTGATTTACAATGTTGTATTGGTGAAACACAATGCTTCAGATGTATTAAAAGTGGACTTCTCATCAGAGTAAAGAATATCATTAAAGAATGATGCTACGCTCGTATCCTATACTTACATTCAAAGAATAACATCCCAAATGTAGATGCTCGATAGGTGAATCACTACTTCCCACCTGACTTAAGACCAAATATATACAAAAGATGGACATATTTAAAAGGCTGACGAAAAATAAAATAAAATAAAATAAAAGGCTGATGAAATTTTTTATTTCCAAGTCAATGAGCAAAAGTCAATCTGTGTGCGTGTGTGCCAAGTCACTTCAGTCATGTCCAATTCTGCGAACCTATGGACTATAGCCCACCAGGCTCCTCCGTCCATGGAATATTCCAGGCAAGAATATTAGAGTGGGGTGTCATTCCTTTCCCCAATTAACTTTCCAACCCAGGGATCAAACCTAGGTCTCCTGCATTGCAGGCAGATTCTTAACCATCTAAGCCACCAGGCAAGCCCCAAAATCAATCTACTATAAGTTTTAAAATATTGCAAGGACTTCCCTGGTGGCTCAGTGGATAAGAATCCATCTGCCAATGCAGAGGACACGGGTTCGATCCTTGGTCCAAGAAGATTCTACATGCTGCGGGGCAACTGGGCCTGTGTGGCACAACTACTGAGCCCGCACTCTAGAGCCCTCAAATTGCAACTACGGAAACCCATGTGCCCTAAAGCCTGTGCTCTGCAACAAGAGAAACCACAGCAATGAGAAGCCTGAGAACCACAAGAAGAGAACAGCACCTGCTTGTCGCAACTAGAAGAAAGCCAATGCCCGCGATGAAAATCCAGTGCAGCCATAAATGAAGAAGTAATGCTGCAAACAGTGAAACAGTAAAAGCAAGCATAAGACAGGTAACAGTGATAAAAGGAGTGATAAGAAACTATTAATTCAATAACTGAATGATTACTGAGTATATACAATGTCAGTCATTAGGAATGGGAGATAACTGAGACAAAGTGCGTGAGTTCAGTGGTTCAAAGTGCAGAGTTCAGTAGTTGAGTTTGCCTGAGGAATTCTCACCATTCAAAAAAGAGAAAATGATGAAAGATGATTTTTTAAAAAAGGAAAACTAAGAACCAATGCTTAAATAATACTTCTTAAAGAAAAAATCAGAAGAAACAGAACAGAAATAATAATCACCAGTATAAAAAAAAAAAGAAACCAACAAAAAAATCTTTCTGGATTGAAAATATTTCTACAGCTCCAAATTGAAAGGCATGTGGTCCATGTATAATGAATTAGAAGATTAAACATCTTCAGCATAAAGGAAAAAAATCCTAAAAGGATTAAGGCAGGAAAATAAAAAGCACAACCACTGCCAAAGAATAAAGACCAGATTTGCCCTAGATTTCACAATAATATAAAGTCCAAATGACAAAGGAGCACCATGCATATAGAATGCTTGAAATATTATAAAAATACTAACACACTGTTCCTTTAAAGATAACTTTATCCAGAAGGGATTTTTGCGGTGTTTTTTTTTTTTTAGAAACTGATGCTCTGTTCCTACAATTTATATGGAAATACAAAGAACCTAGAATAGCCAAAATAGTTTTGAAAAATAACAAGTTGCAGGATCTATACTATCTCGTTTCAAAATTTATTAAAAAGCTAAACTAATCACGACAGTGGGGGCACTGGCAGGGTAGACATAGACATCAATGGATCAATGGAAGAGAACTGAGAATTCAGAAGTAAACCCTTACATTTAAGGTCAAATGATTTTAATAAACACACCAAGAGAATTCAACAGGGAGAGTCTTTTCAACATATAGTGCAGGGGCAACTGAGTAGCCACAGACCAAGGAAAAAACTCCAAAACTAGACCTTTACTCACATTGTACACAGAAATTAACTCAAAGTGGCTTACACACGCAGATATAAAAGCAAAACCTGGGGAATTCCCTGGCAGTCCAGTGATTAGGATTCATATGCTTTCACAACCAAGGAGCCAGGTTCCATCCCTGGTCAGAGAACTAAGATCCCATAAGCCACCTGGGGTAAGCTCAAAAAAAGACAAAGAAAACATGATCCTGGGATAAGCAAAGCGTTCTTAGATAAGCACAAAGGAAGAAAAAAAGACCACCTGATCTCCTAGTCTTCATCAAAATTAAAAACTACTGCTAAACTTTCAAAGATATCATTAAGAAAAAGTAAAAAGCCACAGCCCAAGGGAAATATCTGCAAATCTAATTATTTGATTAAAAAAAATATCCAGAACAACATGTGCTTATGTGCTCAGTCATGTCCGACTCTGCGACCCCACGGACTGTAGCCCACCAGGCTCCTCTGTCCATGGAATCTTCCAGGCAAGATGACTGCAGCAGGTTGCCATTTCCTACTCCAGAGGATCTTCCCAACCCAGGGATCAAACCTGTGTCTCCTGCACTTGCAGGCAGATTCTCTACCACCAAGCTACGTGGGAAGCACCCTCAATAAAAAGAAAAA